CACGTCTTCAAGGCTCATTAAAGTTGTGGTATGCATCAGGATGTCATTTCTCTTTATGGTTGAATGATATTCCATGGTACAGATGGACCACATTGTGTTTATCCATTTATCTGTGGATGGACATTTGGGTTGTTTCCACCTTTCAGCTATTGTAAATAATGCTGCTATGAATATTGTTGTGCAAGTATCTGTTTGTGTTCTTGTTTTCACTTCTTCTGGGTATATATGTAGGATTGGGATTGCTGGGTCATCTGTAGTTCTATGTTCAACTTTCTTTGAGGAACCAGCAAACTTTTGTCCACAGTTTTTTACTGTTGTTAGGTGCCATCGAGTCAGTTCCAACTCATAGCAACCCTATGTAAAACAGAACAAAACAATGCCCAGTCCTGCACCATCCTCATAATCGTTGTTATGCTTGAGCCCACTCTTGCAGCCACTGTGTCAATCCACCTCGTTGTAGGTCTTCTTCTTTTTCACTGACCCTCTACCAAGCATGATGTACTTCTCCAGGGACTGGTCCCTCCTGATAACATGTCCAAAGTATGTGAGACGAATTCGCACCATCCTTGCTTCTAAGAAGCATTCTGCTGTACTTCTTCCAAGGCAGATTTGTTCACTCTTCTGGCAATCCATGGTATATTCAATACTCTTCGCCAGCATCATAATTCAAAGGTGTCAACTCTTCTTCGGCCTTCCTTATTCACTGTCCAGCTTTTGCATGCATATGGGGCAACTGAAAACACCATGGCTTGGGTCAGGTGCACCTTAGTCCTCAAAGTGACATCTTTGCTTTTTAACACTTTAAAAACGTCTTTTGCAGCAAATCTGCCCAATGCAATACATCGTTGATTTCTTAACTGCTGCTTCCATGGGCGCTGACTGTGGATCCAAGTAAAATGAAATCCTTGACAACTTCAGTCTTTTCTCTGTTTATCATGATGTTGCTTATTGGTCCAGTTGTGAGGATTTTTGTTTTCTTTATGTTGAGACATAATCCATACTGAAGGCTGTAGTCTTTGATCTTCATCAGTAAGTGCTTCAAGTCCTAGGTTACTTTCTATTTCACTCACTCAAACTTGAGTGTATCTCAGTGGGTTTTTGTTATTGTTATTGATGACTATTTGTTCTAGGTAATTTTATAGTATCTTAATGATTTTAATAGCAGAAACAACTCTGTATGCTCTAGTAACTCCCTGAAAGTTTCCCAGATGGAAATGACTAAAATTTACAAGCCATAAGAAAGGGTAATGTCGACAGCTTAAACCTTACTTCTATTTTCTGCTCAAAATATTAGAGGAGTGAATCTCAGCAGTAGATATTGTTCAACAAGATCCTACTCCATATTCAATCAGCTGGAGAATCCTACTGGAATATACCTTTTTGCCTCAAATGTTCTGCTCTTATCTGCTTTATGATGGAATTCTGGTTAAGACTTTACTGTTGGCCCTCTGTATCCTCAAATTCCACGTCTGCAAATTCAAACAACCATGGATTGAAAATACAGTAGCTCCCCTCTTACCCACGGTTTCACTTTTGACAGTTTCAGTTATCCACGTTCTCAGGCTCAGCTGTACTGAACATGTACAGACTTTTTTTCTTGCCAATATTCCCTAAACAATACAGTATAACTACTATTTACATAGCATTTACACTGCATTAGGCATTATAAGTAAGTTAGAGATGATTTAAAGTATGTGGGAGGATATGTGTAGGTCATATGCAAATACTATGCCATTTATACAAGGAACTTGAGCATCTGTGGATTTCGGTATCTGCAGAGGGTCTTGGAACTGATCCCCCAAAGACACCGAGGGACAAGGTTCCAATATTATAATTTTATTCTTTTAAGTAAAAAAAAAAAAAAAAAAAAAGACTTGTATCTCCACTAGGAAGACCAAAATTAAAAGCACTGGCAATACCATGTGTTGACAAGGATGTGGAGTAATTAAACACAAATTCATGTATGGTAAAGTCATACATGAATGGTACAGCCACTTTGGAAAACTGTTTGGAAGTATCTGTTAAAGCTAAAATATATATGTCTTATGATCTAGCAATTCCACTCACTGGTAGCCACTCAAAAGAAATGAATGCTTATGCCCACCAAAAGCAATATATTTAAGAATGTTCTTAGCAACTAAATTCGTAATAGTCTAAAACTGAAAACAACCCAAATGTACAAGAATATACAACAACAGAAGAATGGATGTGGTATATTTATAAACTGAAATACTACACAGCAATGAAAAAGAATAAACTATTTATATTTACAATAACATGGGTGAATCTCAAATATAATATGAAATGGGATAGCCCAGACACAAAAGAATACATAAGCATGATTGCATTTACATGACATTCAAAAACAAATCTAATCTATGGGGACAGAGGTCAGAATAGTGGTTACCTTGGGGTTGGGGAGGTTACTGACTGGGAAGAGACATAAAGGAGTCTCCTGGGGTGCTAATAAATTTTCTATATCTTGATATGGCTGATGATTACACAAGTGTGTACAGATATAAAAATTCACCAAACTGTACAATGAATATTTGTACATTTACTATAATATACTAAAATGAGCCCCAGTGGCTCAGTAAAAACAGCCTTGGTGGTGGAGTGGTTAACCACTTGGCTGCTAACCAAAAGGTCAGTGGTTCAAACCCACCAGCACTCCGTGGGAGAAAGATGTGACAGTCTGCTTCCGTAAAGATTTACAGCCTTGGAAACTTTATGGGGCAGTTCTATTCTGTCCTATAGGGTCACTCTGAGTTGGAATCAACTCAACAGCAATGGGTTTTTTTGTTTGTTTTGGTGGTGCAATGATTAAGCACCTAGTTGCTAACCGCAACGTCGGCAGTTTGAATGCAACAGCCACTCCACACGACAAAAGACCTGGTGATCTGCTCCAGTAAAGATTCAAAAAAAAAAAAAAACCCAAAACCCATTGTCATCGAGTCACTTCCAACTCACAGTAACCCTATAGGACAGAGTAGAACTGCCCCATAGAGTTTCCAAGAAGCAGCTGGTAGATTTGAACTGTAGACCTTTCAGTTAACAGCCGAACTCTTAACCAGTGTACCACCAGGGCTCCCCTGTAAAGACTACAGCCTAGGAATCCAAACTCTTAACCAGTGTACCACCAGGGCTCCCCTGTAAAGACTACAGCCTAGGAAATCCTATGGGGCAGCTCTACTCAGTCCTATAGGGTTGCTATCGGTTGGAATCGCCTCAACGGCACACAACAACATACAGATGTAAAAATTTACCACACTGTACAATGAATATCTGTAAAATTACTATATATAGTATATCTTTTTTTTTTTTAATTTTAATTTATATGGTGGCAAGAGTTTTGGAATAAACATTGGAAAGTTCTAGTCATGGTTTTGTCACAATCTGGCTATATGATCCGTGCCAAATCATAGAACCTCACTGGACCTCTATTGCATAACTAAATGCAAAGGTCTCTTTCCCTTCTAAAATACATTAATTCAAAATTTCTATGAATTTCCTCAGTCTTTATATTTGACTTAACATAGTAGGCATATACGCAAAATGATCTTTTCCTGATTTTCACCAAAATCCAACCTGAGTGTATCTCTTTAACCCCATTGGAGAGGCTAGGGATCTGAGGTGCTTCTTTTAGGAGGAGTTAGCACTGGAGCCTCTGGGCCAACATATGGCACAAAGTAGGAAATGCTTACTGAAGAATACAGTTGATTAGAAATTAGTTATAGGCTATTATCTGGAAAGAACATCTCTAGTGATGACAGTAGCTAGAGATATAGTTCTCTTTGACTCAGTAAAAACAGCCTAGTGCCACTGCAGTGATGTATCTAATAATTTATAAATAATCAATAGCTGAAAGCTAGCTGCAGGCAGGCAGCTGCTCTTTGAGATTATCTACATTAAGAACCAATATTTACTATACAAGTTCCACCCACCGAAAAAAAATCAAGATATGCCTTTGTGGGGGCAAGCAGGGTACACGAGGGAAGTCTACTTCGTTTTCTTTTTTCACAGGTATAAAAAAACAAAATAAAATTTAGTTATAGCCAACCTTTCTTCATGAGGAAATGGTAGGGAAATTTAGCAGTAGTTTCTATCTTTCTATCCTCATTCTAGATATATAAATCAAGGCAGATTAGCAGATCACATCAGGGCACCCTAGTCATCACTTCATAAGAAAGAAAGCAAAATGCAATGATTTTAGAAGTGTTTGACTCTAAGGAACTTCTTGCATGGATTAGGCCTCCAAATTCCAGAGATGATCTGGCCTTTTGTAAAAAACAAGAGACAGTTCTGTCAGATGACAGAAGCATTATGTGTAGTAAAATGCCATGGAAAAAAAAGCACTAGCCCATTGAGACCAAGGCATGGATTCTAATTCTGGCTTTGCCATCTAAATTTAAACAAACCACTTTGATCTTTCTGTGACTCAATCTTCTCATCTGTAAAATGAAAGACCGGATTAAATATTGCCATTATTTTTCTCTGTCACTAAAAATTTCTAAATGCTTGGAACTCACGATCTGCTCACCAACATGGTAGATGGGCTTCCTGATAATAACCTGAAGCCACACCAAAGCCAACTATCTTTATTAACAAAAATATCTAGAAATCAGAAATCCAAATCACTAAATTCACTGATTTTAGTGATCATTCAATCAGTAAAATTAAATGATGAATGTTAAGGCCTGAGGTCACTGGAAAAACCTTTCACTGCCTGTCAGTTGGGTTTGCATCCATCAAACAAATAAAAAGAACCTCAACACATAAACGAATAAATGAGTTAAACAAATGAAAGGGTCTATAATGCTATAATGAACTGGTAGAACATTAACCAAAAAAAGAAAATTTTTAAGCCCAACAATGAAACTATATCTGTTCCACAAAAAGTCTGTAGTTTCCATAGACAGATTAAGTAGGTAGGTAGATACATAGACAGACCTTTATTAGCTGAATACAGGGTAAAAATGAAACACATAACTTCTACTCACTTAGACAGCGACACTCCCCCAGCTTTTCCAATCATCTCTTCATGGTGCAGTACTGACTGGTTCCATGGAATATGAAGGAACTTTAAAAGTGTTCTCATCCACCGCTCAGGATGTAAGACGAGTTGTTCATAGTGAACTAACATGCATTTTTTATAACCAACCTCCATACACTGGCTGTACATGGTCTCTATGGCACGATTCCACTTGGTCAAACAGTCCCTATAGCTGTTTAGGTCAAACCCAGCTATAGTGACTTTTCGAGAAATCATTGAGTGTACTGATGCCCGGCCATCTCGAACCATCAGGAGAAATTTGGCATTGGGGAATAACCTGGCAAGGTAAGTTAAGGATTTCAGGGCAAAAGGATCTTTGTTACATAAATAAGGGGCTGGCTCCCCATGCTTAACAATGATTTCTAGTAAGAAGGCTTGCATGGCAGAATCCAGCACTTCATCGGTAACACCAGCCTCATCCAGGCGGATCTTCTCTTTACTGGACCTCGACCACATCTGCTTCAGGGCCAGGATCCGGGGGATGACTCTGGTTTCCTCTCCACAGCGAATGTCGGGGTGTGCATCCAGCATGGCCCTCATGAGTGTCGTGCCACTTCGAGGCACACCTCCAATAAATATCAAAGGCATGTCTTTGTGATAGGCAAAGGTTTTATTGGCTTTGACATCCAGGGCAGTTTGTACAGTGGCCCTTGTGCTCTCCAATTTGGCCGGCTGGCTGCGTTCCTCTATTCGGTGGTGGCATTCCATGGCGTGCTGGCCCAAGTAAAACACAGTCACAGAACTAATCACCAGACATGCCAATAGTAAGTTCTGCTTCAGTTTCCCAACCATCTTGATGTGCTTATCTTGTTATTAAACAGATATTTTGCTCAAAATAATTTTCAGAAAATGTTCAGGCCATGGAGATTTTACTTCAGAAAGATGATCAACATCTAGAAGGACAAGGAAAAAGCTATTTTATCATCACGTTGACTGTTCATAAATTAGCCTCCAGTTATCACCATTACATGTTACCTACAAACTGAAGCAGTCTTGGATGCTCTGATATTCTTAAAACACAAGTATATGCAAATGATAGCAAAAATAAAACAAGGTTTATAATCAGAAACAGCTTTTCTTAACGTAACAATTCAGAAGCTATGTACCTGGCACAGAACAAGAAAATAAATAAAGCTATTTCTATCAGTGAGTCAAGCAAACATTTAATATGCCCAAGCATGTTTAGAGTCCGTGCAAAGTAGGCTGTTCTCTGCTATTCAGATTTGCTTTATCCCCAAGAAGTCACTATGTCCACATTCCACTATAAAGGGAAATTAGACAAGAAATACATAACTTCCCAATCTTCAACACAGATTCGGTTTATTCATCCCACAAATTATTTATTTAGGTCTTTGCAGGCCAGAGACTTGGGCTTGGTTGAGAAGCAACTCTGAAAAGGACAGCGGTGGTCCCTGCTCTCAGAAAAGTCTGATAGACAGATGTAGATGCAAATAAGGACAATAAACTGTGATTGGTGCCTTAGTAGAAATAGGTAGAGGGAACAATGGGAGGATAAGGAAAAGGAGCACCTAAGCCTATCTAAGGAAGCCAATAAAAGCTTTATAAAAAGAGGGAGGGAGGGGTATTCTAAGCCATAGGGTCTTATCTACAAAAGCAGAATGGCATGACAAACACAGAGTATTTGGGCAACAGAAGAGCTGGTTCATGTGATACGCAGAAAATTGTGTGAATATGTCTGTGACCTGACCCTCGGAAGGACAGGTAAGATTTGGATACACAGAGCAGTCTAAGCTGAAGACAGACTATGACCAAAGACATGGCTGTTTTAAGAGCAGGGGCTAACAGTGGAACTAACAGCGGAACTGCTAGTTTAGCTGGAGCAAGGCCACATACTGGGAAGCAGAAGGCAATCAGACTACATTTATAAAAAGAAATTTACCCAGAATCCTCAGAAGGCAAGTACACCTCAAGAAAATGACTAAGTACACTAGGGAAAGAATACACTCTGAGAAGCAGGACTTCCGGATATGGCCTAGTAAGAAGGTAGGCAAACCCTCTCCCTAAAAAACAATGATAAAGCTAGATGAAAGTGATAACAACAACCTTTTCAGTGTTCTGGAAATAGACCAAAGGACTATAACACCCCTAACAGCCTGAGAAGCATTCATGCTTGGAAAAATTGCTGAAAGTTAGGTAAGAACAGTGAGAATCTGTGGCATCTTGCCGAAGGCTACTCTCATCATCCTCCCACCCTCACTCAGTAGATGCAGAGGTTTGCAGAGCAGGCAGGGCAAACTTCAGAGAGGCTGAAGGGAACCCACTCAATCTGGAAAGGTAAATACCACAAATGTCCAGCTGTGTTGTCAGTGTAAGTGATGATCCAGGCAGCCAGTCAGCAACGAGGGTCAAAAACTCTACTAGCCTGAGGCTGTACTCACGCAGTTGGGACAAGCTCATGGTCACCCCTGAGGCTATAAGCAGCAAGGAGACACCAAAGGACAGAGTGAAAAGTAAAAGTCAGGGCAGATCTGAAAATGGACTGAACTTTGAATGTGCTCCATATGCACATACAGAGCCACTGTCAGAAAACAAAAGCCTTACTGACACAACGTATTTGAGCACAACCACTGTCCAAGCATTGGCTGACCACTAAGCTACACAGGAAGGAGAAAACCCCTAGAAAGCAATGCTTAAAAATGAAAACAAGAATAAAAGTTTGTATGCATATGTGTGTGTGTGTACATGCATACACATACCTTAACAGATACATCTGTACACATTTATATGAAATATCCAGAAAAGGTAAATTTACAGAGGCAGAAAACAGGGGGTAAAAGCAGGAAATGACCTGCAAATGGGCATAAGGGGATGTTTTACAGTGCTGGAAATGTTCTAAACTGGATTTTTGTGATGTTTGCACAACAGCAATGGGTTTGGGTTTGGTTTTTGGTATTCATAATCACCAAAAAACTGGAAACAAACCAAATGTCCTTCAACAGGTAAATGGACAAACTGTGGTATATCCAAACAATGAAATACTACCCAGCAATAAAAAGAATTCTTGATATATGTAACAACTTGGATGACTCTTAAAGGCATTACGCTAACTTAAAAAAAAAAAAAAGCCAGTCTTAAAACAGTTCCATTCATAAGACATTCTTATAAAGGCCAACCTACAGATCAGTAGATGCCAGGGGACTGTGTGAGTATAAAGGGATATAATACAGGGAGTTTTCTTTCTTTTTGTCAGTTGTACTTTAGATGAAGGTTTACAGAATAAACTAGCTTCTCATTAAACAGTTAGTACACATATTGTTTCATGACATTGGTTACCAACTCCAGGACATGTCAACACTCTCCCTTCTCGACCATTGGTTCCAACTTTCCTATCCCCTCCTGCCTTCTAGTCTCTTGCCCCTGGGCCTCTCTAATCTTTGGATGAAGGGTGAACCTCAGGAGTGACTTCATTACTGAGCTAAAAGGGTGTCCAGGGGCCATACTCTCAGGGTTTCTCCAGTCTCTGCCAGGCCAGTAAGTCTGGTCTTTTTTTTGTGAATTTTTCTCCTGCCCTGTCTGGGACCCTCTATTGTGATCTCTGTCAGAGTAGTCAGCGGTGGTAGCCGGGCACCATCTAGTTGTGCTGGACTCAGTCTGGTGGAGGCTGTGGTAGTTGTGGTCCATTAGTCCTTTGGACTAATCTTTCCCTTGTGTCTTTAGTTTTCTTCATTCTCCCTTGCTTTCGAAGGAGTGAGACCAATGGAGTATGTTAGATGGTTGCTCACAAGCTTTTAAGACTCCAGATGCTCCTCACCAAAGGAGAATGTAGAACATTTTCTCTATAAACTATGTTATGGCAGTTAAGCTAGATGTTGCCCGAGACCATGGTTCCCACAGCCCTCAGGCCAGTAATTCAGTCCCTCAGGGAGTTTGGATGTGTCTATGGAGCTTCCATGACCTTGCCTAATACAGGCAGTTTTCTGGGGTAATGGAACTGCTCTGTATCCTGATTGTGATGGTTGCTACATGAATCAGTATACGTGTCAAAATTCATAGAACTATACGCAAAAAAGTCCATTTTACTGTATAATAATTTTTAAAATAAAATTTAAAAAGAAGGGAAATTTGAAGGAAAACATGGAGGAGGGAGACAGATGACAGAAAAAGACCAACAGGAGAGTTTGTAATTTTAATCTTCCAATCAATAATGTTTCTTATCAAACACTATTTAGTGGTAATAAGAATCCATGAAATAAATAATAGGTTTTACCGAGAACAGCAAAAAAATAATCTTAGAAAAATGATCTCATATTTTCCATTTTATGGACACTTGAATGAAATAAAACTCCACTTAACTCTGAGTAAACAAACCAAACTCACTTACTGAATCAAAGAGAAGTGCTCTTAGGGGTGCAATAAACTCTAACAACAGTTGATTTCATTTTGGATAGCTATACAGGAATGATTCTGCTAGTATATTCCATTTGTTTAGAAGTCTGCATAATGCATGTTGCAGGAGAGAAGAGCAGTAATCATCCTGAAATGGCAAAGCTTTTTGAACAAATTTAGTCTAGTGCTGTCAATATTTTAAATACACTTAATATTCTAACAATTTGCCAAATTCTGGTACATAATTCAGAATTCAATAGGTGACAAATGACTCAACTTCTTCCCAAAATTACCTTAGCAATAATTTAAAATACAACGGTACAAAAACAAAATAACTCTCTCCATAAAAATCTTCCCCAAACCCAGATCAGATACAAAATATTCAGCAATCTGAAGTTAATGTGACAGACCTCAAAATTACTATAGCAGCAACTGTATCAAGCAAGTATGTTACACCATCTAGCAACTTCCCACTAAAATACTCCAAAATTCTCAGTAACGTACATAAAAAGAATACCTAGAAATATATTATTAATGTATTTCCTTGTCCATAAACGTATTTGTACATCTTAATGGCTGCACAAAACTTCACTGATTGGCTCCATCAACACTTATTTGACCAATTCTCTATTATTAGTTACTTATTTTTTAATTTTCGTTTACTATAAACAACACTGTGATAAATATTTTTGTACATACAAACACCTGCACACACACTTATTTTCTTAAACTAAATGTTTAGAAGAGGAATTGCTAGGTCAAGGAGTGTGGAATATACTTGATTTTAAAGCATTTAATACATATTTGATTCACCTCTTTCTCATATCCTACAGCCAATCTGATGAAAAAATTCTATTGACTCTACCTTCAAAATATACCCAGAATCTAACCACTTCTTGACACCTCCACTGCTACCACCATCACCTCTCACTAGCATTGCTGACAGACAACCACCAACTGTTTGCCAGTGCAAGCTCGCATGTTGCTATGATGCTAAACAGGTTTCCACAGAGCTTCCAGACTAAGACGGACTAGGAGGAAAGGCCTGGTGATCTACTTCTGGAAATCAGGCAATGAAAACTCCATGGATCACAACAGTCTGATCCGCAACTGATCATGGGGATGGCACAGCACTGGGTAGTTTTTTGTTCCCTCGTGCATGGGGTCACCACGAGTCGGGGCCAATTGGAAGGCAGCTAATAACAACATGGAGCCCTGGTGGTACAGTGGTTAAGAGCTCGGCTGCTAACCAAAAGGTCTGCAGTTCAAATCCGCCAGCCGCTCCTTGGAAACCCCATGAGGCAGTTCTATTCTGTCCTATGGGGTGGCTATGAGTCAGAATTGACTTGACGGCACCCAACAACAATATCCTTGCTTCTACCCCTCCCCCTAGAGTCCATTCTCGACTCAGCAGTCAGAGTGATCCTCTCAAAACATAAGTCAGAACAGGCATTCCTCTGCTCATAGCCCTCAATGGCTCCTCATTTTACTCTAAGTTTTAAAAGCCAAAGTCCTTATAAAACCAAAAGATAAAACCCGTTGCTGT